TAAGCATTACAGCGACGTTCATTTTCAATGCTGATTATGGGGCGGATGAGGTGACTTTTCCGGATTAAAATATGCCACTGGATTTTGTCCCTACTGCAACAAAGGGGCTAGTCTCAGACGACAAAGCTCGTGGTTTCAAGGACTTGAGATGGAAAATTGCCGACCAAGTAACCTATTTCCTTGCACAGTTCCAACTGTACCGATTGCGACCCCGGTTTCGCCGTTTTGGTGAACATGCTTCCATGTTGCGGATCACAGGGATGGGACGAAGAAGGGAGTACAAGCGTGTGCTTTCTCAGCGCACATACCAACCAAGGGAGGGATTCTCCAGATTCTTAGGGTCGATCCGGGGAGCTCAACCCCCCCCCCTAGCTTAGACAGGATTATTGAGCTTCTGCCCACTAATTTCGGGGGATGGAGCCCCTAACGTCCAGGAGGGACCCCAACCTTAGGCACCCCAGCCAGACTCTATGGCCCGTCGCACAAGTCGATGGAGGTGGGGGCCGAAATACACCCTTGAATCTGGTGAAATGCCGACGAGTCAACATAGAACAATTACAAACAGAATCTGTTATCTTTGGTGGTATCAGTTCCACAGCCACCTATAATAACGCAAAAAGGGAGGGAAATGGATTCGCACAAGGCGTTACGTTACACGCCCATTTCTTCCTGTTGAGCCGTTGCGGGCCCTTGCGGGTAATTAATGGTGTTTCAAGGACTCTGCAAAGCTTATAATTCACCACCCTGGTACGGTACAGAGTACATTGCGGCGTAAATAAGCTATCATTCCTCTCTTCATTAGTCAATACGGAGTATGATGGACTGAGTGGATACCTTACTGACCAACATCCTGCTTGCACGTGTTCGCGAGGAGTGCGCTTCGCGCAAAATCCACAACCAACCGATTCGACGGACCTAACGCTTTGAACTTCCTGGTTTATTTATTTATTTATTTATTTATTTATTTATTTGTTTATTTATTTATTTTTTTTTTTTTGTTGTGAGTTTCCGTCAGAGTTATGTAAATACCCGCTCGCTCTAAAGTATCGCTGATTCGTTGTACAGTACCTGTGCATATTGTACTCGGTTAAAAATATAAACAAACATGTAACTATAGTAACTAACCCTGAGTTTCAATTCACAAACTAACGTCAATTCCTTCCTCCGACAGAGCTGCTCTGCGTTTCGCTCTTAAGCTTGTTTCAGGCTCCGAGATTCATGACGGTCGGTCCACGCCATCGGCCCCATGGTTGGGTAAAAAAGCGCGCCAATTCCAACCTCCAGACCCCACTTCTCACATGGTGGCTTTGTGGCGTGCTAACTTCCGGGAACAGAACCAAGGCAGCGAGCTAACGGCACTGTCGAAAAAAGAAATAAAAAAATAAAAAAAAATCGATAATTCTCGCGCCCTTGCCCATTTAGTATATCGCTGGCCAAGGACACGACGCGGAATATCCCCGTCCAAGGAGATATTAGCCGATACGGACGTGTGCACCTTACTTCAGTGGTGGACGAAGGTGTGGATTCTGGGCGTTTTGAGAGAATGCTTTTTCTCGGGCCTTCATGAGCTTCTTTGAAAGGTGAATGAAGCTCGGAGAAACAGCATATCGGATGTGTGGTTGGCCTTGTATTCCCTGAAGAAGCTTCTCTTCCCTGCTGAGCCTAAACCTGAAGTTGCAGGGTGTGCATGGATCTTGTGCAAGAGAAGCGCGAGAGACGCGGTGGCTGCTGGTCCATAATCCTGGTGATCGAGAGCACCAGGGATTTATATGGGGCCTGGGAGCTCTCGATACGCAGTTTTCCCCGGAATCGATGATGCAGGGCTTGGATATTATTTTTCTTCTTGTTTCAGCTTCCCAAGCCGCTGCTCCAACAATGAGCGCTGTTTCTGTCCGACTGTTTAGCGTCACCTCCCTCATCAACACATGGTAAAAACGATATTCAACGAGTGCTCTTGTTGTTGACTGTTCCCAAAACGCGAAAACCTACTTGCAGCCACAATAGTGCTCTGTACCGTAAAAGCAGCGCTTAATTTGTGTCCGGCCGGTGTGGGCTGAGCAAGAAGAGTGGGATACGAGACCACCACCAAATAATTATTGTCATGATAGGCGAATGGAAACGAGCTCTGACAAAAAACTTTCTTTTTTGTTTGTTCATTCAAGCTTCTTTCCACTTGGCTAATTTTTGGGAATCTCCCTTACTTTTCACATTGTTGTTCTTGAGTTCGGGCTGTTGTTATGTAGATGCTGTTTTGCGCTGTGAAGAACGAATGTTAGTCCTACGGCCATCTGCCATTAAAAATAAACATATAAGTTATATGTATTTTCACCTCCACTCGGAAGCGGGCGTACCGAACTAGGGTAATGATGACATTTTGCTTCAAGTTCAAGAACCATCTCCCCCTTCCCCTCCAAAAAAGTCTGGATTTTGAGATGTGACCTCTCAGTGATTAGTGATGTAAAGTGATTGTTTTTTTTTTTCTAACTCAACTCCCCTCCAAAACACGACGGAATAGAGCCGCCGTGTATAACTTCTTATCCTTCTAGCCCATGTCTCTCAATTGCTATTTAGCAAACCAACTTAATTATTATTCACGAAAATGTAAACAACCTTCTGAATATCAAAAAGATCCTCTTTCGTTCGTGTTGTCTTCAATTCCCACTACCTACTCCTCTGCCCCCCCGGCACCCACCACGATCCCTGTCATAGGTAAAAATTGCTTAAAGATATGCTTAGAACGAATGCTTGCCTTGACAGAGAAAGTAGGGCTAGTAGAGTAGCTAGACGCTGGAGGCCCCGCGCCCGCCGTACATTCGCTGCGTACATACAAAACCGGACGGTGGGCCGTTGGGTTGGATGGGGGGGGAAAGGTGGAATCAATTCCCTACAATTATTTTCACTACCTGTGTAAAGCCATCCCGCCCCATGACAAAATGCCCGCACGCAGTACGCCCGCCTCCGTCTATCGACCAGCGCGCAAAAACGATAATGCGATGGTGGATATGGTTCTTGTTTGAAGTTCGGGTTTGCCCTGATTCTTTTCCCCCCCCTTTTTATTTATTTATTTATCTTTTTCCCATCGTTACCTGTAGTGCGTAGGCCTTTTGGGCGGGTACAGGAAGTTCAGATCGGATGAGAGATCCATTGTTTCGCCTACGCCTTATTTCTTATTTCTATCTCTTATGATGATGATTATTATGGGCAAACAAATCATAATGGATACGGACACTTAACCGGTGTTTGAGTATGGAATGTAGGGAATTTTTGTCTCCGTTCCATCCTCGCTTTCGCATCCATGCCATGCGGGCTCGCTGGACACTACTGGGCAGATGTGCCCCCGCGTTGGATCCAAGACTAAGAAAGGCCTGGTCCAGGCGTATCTGTACTACGCCGTAATTCTCCCGCTTTCCTTTCTTTTTTCCTAACGTTTTCTTTTTTTGCGTCGCGTCGTTCGCGCGTCTTTGTTTTGTTTGGGGTTTCCCTTCGGAGTGATTTTCGGAGATAAATCAAACACAGGGCCTGGCCTGGCTGCGGTCGAGGAAATATGGGATATCAGCGTGCTTCCCTGAGAAGCTCGCCTCGCCAATCACATCTCCACAGCAGGCGTAGTTATTTTTCTGGGTTCCAGACTCTAACATACTCCGCAACATTTGCGACCCTTTTTTCCTGATCTCCATCTCTCATCTTACCCAGTTCGGGAGGAGTATTCTGGCCTGCTGTTTAGTTTTTTAGTTGATATGTATGTTCCATTATTGTTACTATGTATGAACCCAAGGCTTGAACTGGCTGAACAAAAGGCGTTTCGGATTACTTTGGGGGGGTCGGGAGCGCCACGCACTGCTACCTGAGGGTCTTCGTGAGGCAGGAGTCCTCAGATTCGCGGTGTAACTTGTCAGCGGTAGCACCGTGGGGGCACATCGAAGGCTTGGAAAGGTCCCGGATTAGGCATAGATTGGTCGGTGTTGCATATGGGGCCCGTTTTTTGCAGTTCGGATTTTCTTTTTCCTTACTGACGCTAACTAGGGAGGGCGAGGACAAAAGTCGTCGCTATTTTTGGGAACGGAAGTGTGGTGCGTGGGTATATGGTGATCCCGCTTCGTTGGGCGGGAAGGGGGGTAGGGATTGAGGTTGTGATATGCCACGCCCCAAGAATGTTTCTTCTACTCCGTACTAAGGACAGCGAAAACTTGCGCACGCTGGTGAGGGTGCCAACCTTATCAGGCCCCCCCCGTATCTCGACGAAAAGGAACAAAATTATTATAAAATCAAACCGTTCTCATTACTCCGTATTGTCGCTCAAAGTTGCAATCACGCCATTGTTTTATTTCTCCGATAAACGAGGGCTGAGCTTCCCGGCTTGGATGGACTTCCAGAGAGAACTGGACATATGTCCTGTAATTGGCCATCACTGTGGATGCACCCCCCGTCCTGGCTGAAAAAGCTGAGGCTAGGTTGACTAAGGAAGTACATCCGCGGCTAAGACGAGACGGTTCGCATCGCATGATCGGCCATGGATGTCAAACATACTTACTTTGCCAGTAGCGAGTCTTGGGCCGGGGGACGGCGACCGATGTTGACGATTTGATAAACACCGAGAGTTCAAGAATCCAGGTCCTTTGTTCCTCGTTTTACCGTGGAGATTGACGGCAAGAATCATGATGATACTGGATGACGGGCGGCATAAAAGCGGGAAGTATCACCGGGGGCGCAACTTGCATAGGCTCAAGTTTAAACCAGTCCTTGGCCACCTGGAAGTTGTTTTATAGCGGGCTTTTTTGTCTTCTTAAAGATATTCTGAGATATGATGACGTTAGATTGACAGCCAGCATCCATCCTTAGCAGGCAGCTCAGCTATTTTTGAGCTTTTATTAGCTTTTTGTGACTCTTCGGCTGCGACCTGCCCAGTAAACCAACGTTAAGATAAACCCTCTGTTTTGTTTTGGAAATGCATGTGGTCACCGTGGACTGTGTTTGAACAACCTCCATTTTGTTTTATTTTTATTTTTATTTTTATTTTTATTTTTATTTTTTTTTGTTCGGATGTTGTGGCGGCGGCACCCATCACGTATCAGAATTGCAGCCAAGACGGAGTCGCTCTTCTGAGCACATGCTCCGTACGAGTAGTTACGGGGAGCGGGTACAGTCGAACCTCTGGTGCGATGTCATGACTCGAAAAACGATAATGGGCGGGCAATCTTGTTTCATATGTTGAAAGTGAATGAATGACGGGGCTTTTTGGAAAGCCGTTTCCTTTCTCTCTTCTCTGCTTCTTTTCGAAATTCTTTGCATCGTCTAGTCAACTAGTTATTTTAAACTGCAATGGGAAATCTGAATGGGACTTGGAATTCGGGTTAATTCCGTGGTACTGTGGATATTGACGGGTACGTGCTGGGGAAGAAGAAGCAGCCTAGCAGGAGATCCCCTGTAACTAGCCGCACCGAAAGGAAACTTTCCTGCTTGCTTGCGGGCCTCCCATGCCGCTGCACAGGGTGTGTCGAATGGTTGGATGGAAGGGGGTTGGGGGTCCTTGGGGATGGGATGGATGGGATGATGCGAGTGCTGAACGGCTTTTTTCTTTGCTTTTCTTTTTCCTTGGCTTTTCCTTTGCATTTTGCCAAGCGCGTTTGTTTCTTCGACTCCAACTATACGCAGTAGTTATTATTGCATGTTTGCACAAGTACATAGTACGCTGCGTAGCAACGAAGACGGAGGATGTATGCTTTATTGAGATGCTCTAAAAGCAACAGCGGCAGCTGAAAACACAATAATCACACACTCAGAGCAGGTTTGAATCTGTCCGTCCCATGTACGCTACATATTGAATATTTGGTTGTCCTCCCTGCCCGGATGTGGCTAATAATCCGAAGTAGTTCGATTAAAGTTCACACATTCATCCAGGGATACGAAAGGCGGAATGCTGTTCCATGCCTTGTCAAGAAAGGGTTCATAGCGGGCCGAAGTCAACGCATGAGTTAATGTGATCCAGGTTTGTGGTTCTTGGGGATAACTTCCAGGAATATGCTAGAAGCCAGATACCTCGAGATTAGAGATATGAACTATGGCATACGGGAAAAAAAAATAGGACAAAAGCCAAAATCGAGCAAAGATCGTCGTTAGCACGGATCTATATCTCTCTCCCCTCATTCCTCAGCAACGCGCTTTGCTTCCCTTGCACCGCGGGCCCCGTTTAACTCGGGATTTTTCGCAAATCCATCAAATGTTTTAGCAAGAGAAAAAATTGGACAAGAACGCCAGTCCCATATCCACGGCGTATTATTCTGTCACAGCCAAATGTGTCGCTCGCTCTTATCACTGCGCGATATCACCGCTGCAAAGGAACAGTAATAAAAGTCGCTGAACCGATCCAGATCTAGATTATCTTATCTTTAGCTCGCAATTTAACACTGGAAGCAGCCCTCTGGACAAAATGCGACTGTGTGTCTCCGCTCTTCTCCACCGTCTCCATACCATACACTAGTTTAACCCAGTCTCCATCGGCGATGAATGGTTGAAGCCGCATCGCAGCTCTTTCTCCTCCATTTTCCCCCTCTTGTCTCCGCCCACGAGCATCTCCTCGGCAGTCGCTGGCACCATTCAATGAGTATGAGCAAAGTGCAAGGGCAATGGTTGATAGAAAATTAAAACAGCAATCGTGTCGAGTGCTCGGGCGTAGCGAAGTACGGAGGGTTGATAGCAAATTGCAATAATAATAGTGATGGAGCGTAAGCACAACCAACCCCTGCAATCTGAAATCAGATACCTCTCTCTCTTTTTCTTTTTTTTTTTAAATTTTTTTTTCTTTTAGTCTGGTTCGCATAGTACTGTGCGTAAGACGAGTAGCGCGTGTCCACCCTTGGGTCCGGAATCTGCCTGAATGACCTCCTCGAAGATCTTTCCTTCGCGACGATTTCTCCAAGCGATGGGGGGAGACTTGGAATGCAGAGACTTTCTCTGATGGAACTCTGAACATCACACCACTTCAGCATGTTCAACCTCTCGTGCTGTAGAAGCCAGAGACACGCAGAATGAGCGCGATCAGAAGAGGAAACATGGGGAGCAGTAGCGCCCGTCTACCTCCCGTTCCTGGATAAGGATGCGTCCCGTCAAGAAACAAAAAAGAAAAAAAAAAAGAATTATTTTCGGCCTGTTGACATGCCGCGCGAATCGCCTGCCGTTTTCAGGGTCTGGCATTCTCAGCGGTTGGGGCTTGGACGAGAGATGCGAAAAAAAAAACTGCAATCAACGCTATATAACTAAACGCGCTAGAGCCTACAGCTATGCTATGCTATGCATAGGGGGGGACAAATTCCGCGTGCTTCCTCTTGCGCACATGTTGTTAAAAAACGGAACGCGCGCAGCAAGTGACAGACGCCGCCGAGTCTTTCTCTGCTGAGGCAAAAATGACTGGCGTCAGTTCGATGCAGCGGGATGGTTGCATGGTAGCATTCTGGCAGTTATGAGTGGCTGAAGTGGGCTGCGCAGTCTGTCGTTCTTAGTTCGTCACTAAGGCTGATCCCCGCCTATAACAGCAGCACCATTCGCTGCTAAGGCGTGCTAAAGGCTTCCCACCAACAACTTGTTACGCTGCGTACATCTGCGTCTTTTCTTTTTTGCTTTCTTGCTTTTTGCGTTTTTGACTTTTGCGCTTCTTTTTTTTTTTTTTTTTTTTTTTTTTTTGTTTTTTATTTCTTTCCGATATTTTTTATTTTATTTTATATTTTGCTTTGGCGGCTGCTCAAACCCTATTTTTAATTTTCTTTTCTTTTTCCGATGGTTCTGGTGCTGCTGCTGCTTGCTCCAGCGCCCTCCAAACCCACGCTAACTAAACAAGCCTCCTGGTGGTGGTAGTGGGTGTTATTATTAATGCCACCTCGATCTTCTGTTAACTAACCTACCACTAGCTAATTAGCAACGGGTGCTGATGCAACGCTCTTTTCTGCGCGCTCGTCTGCTACTAATGAGCCCAATTGTTCTCCTTCCAAGTTTCTTTCCAGCATCCGTCATCATATTATTCCCTCTCTTCCCCCCGAGAGTTTCCTCCTCTCTGTCTCTGCTTCCGCTCCCTAAACAGAGTCAGCCAACAAGCAGCAAGACTAAATAGTAATAAGAATCGTTTCCCTGACCCTCCTTCCCTCCACTATTTCCTTCTTCTCCCCTTCATTATTATAATTCTGCTCTGGCCTGCTTCCTGTACCGTACCCTCGCTCGTTTCACCGCACCGCACCCTTTACTTGTTTTTCTTTTTTTTTGCGCGCGCCCCCTTCCTCCCCCCCCCCCCCCCCGGGGTCCCCCCCATCATCCCCCTTATCATCCCCCCCGTCTGGCTTGTTAACAGGCGCTAACTAGCACTCGCGCCCCCTTCCCTTCTCCCTTCCCAGTCAGTCCCAAACTATCTTTATGTCTGTCAGACTAACCGTTCCCCTTAAGTCGCCTCCAATGGTCGCCTGTGCCATTGCTGTTGCTCCTTTTGTTCCCTGTCCATCCACACGCGCTCTGTAGTGTTCCAGCCTCTTGGCCGTTGAGTCCCCCTAAAGAAGCTTTAAACTGATCCCCCAAGCCCTGATCCTCGTCCGTCCCGCTACCTAAATCACCCCTTCTCCTCCTCCAACGGCCATTCCATTCCCTTGACCTAGCTCCTGAGTTTCTTCAAATCACATCCAACAAAACTTACCCACCCATTCCTTTCCCCCTCTCAAAAAGCAAAAAAGGAAAAAGAAAAAAAGAAAAAAAAAAAAGCTTTGATCCTGTCAGGTTCTTCACTACTCCATCTGCCGTTGGAACTACACATCTGTCAAATCTGACTATAGAACCGCGCTGGCGAGGGGTACTCTACAACTTCCTCCCCTTCCCCCCTCCATCCCTCACAACAACACCACTCACCAGCACCAGTTGCTACGACACTACTGCATTTTTACTTTGCCCCGACTATTGCTTCTGTGACCACGCCCGCCCCGACATAAAGGTCCCAGCAAGCCATGGCAGCCATGGTTCAACAGGCCAACTTGGGCCCGCCTGCATCCAAGTACCATAAGGAAGATCCGCAGCTACCAGCGCCGTCGCAGATTGATGATTCGGTGAGTCTGAAACATTTCTGTTTCTTCTGCTGCTTCTGTTTTATTTTTATTTTTATTTTTATTTTTTTCCTGTTTAGTATAAAAATTGCCACGTGAAAAAAAGCAAATATCTGCGTTACCAAGATAGGAGAAAAAGCAGAAAGGAAGAAGAATAGAAAGAGCAGAAAGGAGAGAGACGAAGAAGAAAAAGAAAAAGAAGAAAACGGGTGAAACGATCTGAGCAAGCCAAAAGCAACTTGCAGCTTGTATTGTGACACCCAGTATTGGTTTTTTTTTTTTTTTTTTTTTTTTTTTTTTTTTTTTTTCCCTTTACTATCTTCTGTCTTCTCTACTCCGTACTGCTTCTTCCATTTTACTTCCTTGCTTTTGCTTTTGTTCATGCATACCTGCGGTTTCCTGGCCCTTTTCTCTCCCTATCTCATCTGGAGATCGATCCTCTTTGTTAGTTCCCTATAACTGTGTTCCGATTCTTGCTTGTACTGCTGCCTCGTACCTTGTTTGATCGCCACCTATCGCCATTTTTGCTCTTGTTCCTCAAGGAAAACGCCCTCTCGCTTTTAAAGCCGTTACAGACATGCTCCTGAGGTCTGGTGGGTCATTGTCTACTTTCCCTATTTACATTATATCCGGTCTGCCTGGACTCTCCTCTGTCCGTCACGTCGACAGAAAGACGAGGATTTCATCCTTGCTATGTTCGCGACTCAACGCCTCGAGGCTGGGGCACGTGAGCAGACCATATTGAGCGCTCATACACTCAGCTCTATGGTATCTCTTCTGTGCTCATTGGCCTTATGGCTACGTTATTTCGCGAATTGCTATTTCCTCTTGTGGCTCTTCACGTCAATCTATCGAGGGTTGGCTGAGTGTACATAATATGCCGCGCTCCAGACACCTTTTTTGATCCAGCTTTGCCATTACTCTGCATGGGTTGTGGGCTGGTACCTTCTGGGCGTGGAGGGAATATGCAGCTAGGCAGACCATCCCTCCTGCGATGCTTACGTCTCTCACCCGCTTTCTTTTCTTTTTCCGTCCTTCTTTTCTCCTCTTCGCAAAGGCCTAGTCCACACGTGCAAGGCAGGTCCTCGTTCTTAGCAGCATAATGCCTGTCCTTAGCACACTGGTTAGCGGCAGCAGTCGAAAAGAATCCGGGTTTCACCCACCCGCCAACCACAGGGCACGCTGGCCTCTCAACATCCCCGCCGCCTATTGCCACTGCCTAGCCTCCATTACATACACGCACTCTGTCGCAGCCTGGATCACATGGCGGCTAGACCAGTACCTGTTTTGATCACCGTATTCTTTTTCCCTGACGGAATATCTGCTCTTCATCCTCATTATCCTCAACTGTTGGTCTGGCATATTTCTTGTGCTTTGTGTGTGAAAACATGACTCCCCCTGGTCAGATCGGGCACTTCCTCTCCACAGTTCCCCATCTTATGTGCTCAACCCTTGCCTTGCCTGTTGGATCTGTCAAAATTACGGCATATTCTCCCAACAGTCATCGGTGCCACACCAAGCAAGGGTAGTGGACGGGGTTGATCTACCGAGTCGTCTGGCCCTTCAGGGTTGGTAACTGCCCTTGGCCTCTCGTTCCTTTTCATCCCTTGAAGATCGGGAACAAGCACTGGTCAGCTCGCGGCGGGCGCTCCCCCTGCAGTGACGCTTTGCTTAGGTCTCTTCCTCGTGTCAAATCGCATATCATTCATTTGGATACTCTTTTTTGTTGATATTTTTTCTTTTCCCACACTTTCCGCACATATATACGTTTAAACCTGAGAAATAGGTGGCCATTCCCACCCAACTGTGTTGTGAAGACTGGCCCTATCATTTTGTCCGGTTCTTGTGTGGATGCAGAAACCATTTCTCAAGAAGAGCGGCGATAGCTGACTGAAAACCCTTGACATAACAGCGACAACCTCAACATTCACACGCTACCCACCAGCCTCTTCAACTCCAGCATCCTAGATCTGCAGGCATTCTCCAGCACCAAAAACAGCCTCCAAAGTCTCCACATCAGTCCGAGACCTCTATTCCACAGCCTCCGTACCCTTCGCCGCATGTCATAGGAAACGGTATCCACCTACAACGCCAATCGCCATACGGGGCTCCTGCTCAGGAACCTTATTATTCTTCTCACCCCGGGACTTTTACTGCAACAAGTAGTTCAGGACATTATCCTTCAAGCGGTATGGATTAACTAAATTCCTTGGTAATTTCTGGGTGGAGAGGAGGGATGAAGAGGAAACACGAGGATGTCGAAGTATAAATTCGTCCTGCACAGTTTCCCTCGGCATTTTTGTTATTTTGGTGGATGAAAAACTTAGTAGTTTTGGCGTTGAGAGTGGAATTTTTGTAGCAAACCAAAAACACATGCCATCAGCGTGCTAACTTTCAACAGAAGCCCCAGATCTTATGGCGGCAACCGCACAGATGCAACGCCCTTACCCCCCTATCTACCACACACCTCAGTCAAATTCGCCAGCTTCCGTCGCATCACCTCAAGGCCACGATCCCCATGGACGAAGCCTCTACGGGCAGCCGCCTCAAATGGCCTCGGGAATGTATGGCTACCCGCAGTTTCCACCCATGAACCCTGTCCACACAACTCCGTATGCGCCTCATCCTAGCCAACAACATGCCCATCTCACATCCCAACCTCTCCTTGTGGGCCACCAAGGCACCCCGGGCCAACTGCAACACCAACACCAGCAAACTCAACAACACCCCGGCGGAGTTACGAGCAGTCCACGAATGAAGTTTGACCCAACTCCTCAACATCCCCCTTCGTCGCAACGAACGCCATTAAACCAATCGCACCAGCAGCCACCGGTTTCAGGCGGTACTGTTCATTCAGGAACGAGCGGAAGCAACACTAGTGCTGCTCCCGGTCCGATTCCCGCGACGACTCCACTTGTTGTTAGACAAGACGGGAACGGAGTTCAGTGGATTGCCTTTGAATATTCGCGGGATCGCGTGAAAATGGAGTACACGATTCGATGCGATGTAGAAAATATCAACATTGAAAACTTGAGCCAAGAGTTCAAGACCGAAAACTGCGTGTATCCACGAGCATGTTGCTCAAAGGAGCAGTACAGAGGGAATCGTCTGGTCTACGAGACCGAATGCAACGCTGTTGGGTGGGCATTGGCCGAACTTAACTCCTGTTTACGCGGCAAACGTGGACTTATCCAAAGAGCAGTTGATAGTTGGCGGAATAGCAATCAAGACCCGCGGCTGCGCAGTCGAAGAGTAAGAAGGATGGCAAAGATAAACAACAGAAAAGCTGTTGCTGCACAACATGCCAATCAGTTGACAGGTCCCCCTCCTGCAGGAGTTCCCGGTAGTACTGCTCTAGCCACCACGGGAAGTTTGAGTATGGGAGGTCCACAGCTTCATCATCATCATGCACACCCTGCTGAATCGGGCACAACACAGAGTGGAGAGGACGTTAGCGGTATGTTTCACCAGATGTGATTTTTTTCTCTTTTTGGGGAAAGCTATTTCCTTGTCTTTTTTTTCTTTTTTATTGGATTCAACCATCTATATATTCCGCTTTTTGCCTTGTTGTTATGGCGGATGGACAATTTTGATGACCTTCATGTAGATGTTGGGAAGCATTTGGAAGGATGAAACGTTCGATGTGTATCTATGTTATCCTGATCTTCCATTTTCTTTCTTTTCTTTCTTTTTTGGTTTCACTTATCACACTTATTCGTCAAAACGGGGAGGGTAACACCTTTCATTCCTAGCACGGTCTGCTTTTATGTCTCGCTTATCCTCATTGTCGTTATGGTAAACTTTGCCAGATGATGTCAGACAGCGTAGGCTAATATCACGCCATTCATTTGATATTATCCATGTATAGGCAACCCTGAATACTCGAACGGTACTCATCGTCCATCTGCGCCGCCAAACACCTACGCCCAACCTGGCCCGTCCCCAGCAGACATTCGCCCTGGCCATATGTTCCACGGCTACCCAAGTTACCCGAATCCGGCCTCCTCCCACTCCCAAACTGGGCCTTCCATGCCCCCTCCTTTGCGTGATACAGGCCTAGACCATTTAGGTCGCCATTCCACCGTCGCCACCTCCCACTCTCGCTCTGAAAGTGATGACCATAGCCCCGATAACACCGCTCTTTTCGGCGACCTTCCCGAAGGACGCCGGAGGAAATTTATCCTCGTCGAGGATCCGCAGCGCAATTGCAGAGTTCGAGTGAAAGTCATGCTCGATCAGGTGGATATGAAGGAAATCCCGGACTCCTATCGCAAGTCGAACTCGGTATTCCCGCGAACGTATTTCCCCGTGCAGAGCCCGTTTGGGCGCGGCAACCGTGGTGACAGGTTCGTTGATGACGATGCCGGCGGTAATCATGAAGATAACGGCGACAATGCGGAAGCGACGGTTGGGCGAACTTTGGTTCCCGTGCCGACACTCGACGGAGAGGCGAATCTGGCAGTCCCCAAGATAGCGAGGGGCAAGCGCAATAAGGAGGTTATGTTGAACGATTTGGGATATCGCATGAGCTGGGGACAGAGCAGAGTCTTCTCCGGCAGGACTCTCTTTCTGCAGAGAGCTTGTATGATTTTATTTTTTTTATTTTCTCTTTATTTTTTATTTATTTATTTTTTATTTATTTTTTATTTATTTTTTATTATTTCCTTGGCTATCTTCACTTCACATTTTCCACCCCTGTTTTCCATCTTCCTTACGAGTTGCTGCACGAACGTCGTTGGCTAATCTTTGTCTCTTCCCCTGTTATAGTGGACGCGTACCGCAACAAAATGCGCAGCACGATGATTACCGCAACCCAGGAACTCACCTCCGTCGCGCCGCATTTCGAAACCCGCGTTGGAAAGCGCAAGTGGCTGGAGCGCAGCAAACAGCCCCGAGCAGGCGTATCTGCCAGTGGGCGCGGCACGCCTGCCGTTACTACAATATCCTCCGCCCGAGACGCGGAGGAGGTAGAGGGTTAGGATTTTAAACCTATCAAAAACCCAGGAACCAGGAACCAGGAACGGGAAACCAGATAAAGGGCTTTTTATTAACTTCCTCGTTCCCACCGGCGGACCCGTGGATTCTAAATTTGATTTAAACCGTTTCCTCGGACTCGCGAAAGTCAATACACAATCACGTTATTTATCGCAAAATCGATAAATCGACGGAACAGGGATATGCGTATGTATATCCAAACACCACAGCCGCCTTTATTCATATATACGGACACCAATCCACCCACCGCACCTCGCCACCTACTGAAAGTTTTTTGTACCCAATTCTTCTGTTATTATTATTGGTAAATATTTTTCTTTCATTTTCCTATTATTCTACATGAAGGGAAACATTACAGGACGGAAATGGGCAAAAAAGGGATATTAAAAAAGGGAAAAATGGATATATTTTTGAGATGAGAAGGAATCATCAATGGGAGGAATATTTGTATGGGATATATATTATATCTTCTTTTCACTATACTTTTTCTTTCTTGTTTGTTTTATTTTCTTTATTTTTAACACACAATACGGAGTTAAAAATCTAAGGGAAGGATGGAAACTGGAAAGGCAAAGGAAAGGGGAAAATTCGAGGATATCTCTGCTTTCTCTTTTTTTCCTTTCCCCTCTTCTTTCTTTCTCTGTTTTTTTTTTCCTTCTTCTTCTTATTCTTTTGTTATTATATTCTTACTCCCCTTCTCTTTTCTTTTTTCTTCCGCAGAGCTGGGAAATGGTATATTATATATGGGAAGGAAACGGAAATGGGCTTTTTTTAACTTCTCTTCTTCGATATTCATTTTCGTCTTTTGCTTCTCTCCAAATGCATATACTGTTATATTGATTTCTTTGAAATTTTGTTTTTTATCGCTTGTATGTTAATTAGGTGTTTACTTTGACTTTTATTTTTATTATTTTTATTCTATCTTATGATCTTGCTTGTGGCAATATCGTTATCTCGTCTCTTCCTCATTTACTTTTTTTCTATTCATCACTTCTCTTCTTATACTTCTTCATAGTGTTGACGTTGTCTACTGCTGATAGATATTATTGATAGATAATATTAACCACAGTTGTCTTCATTACACTTACATACTTTCCATCATGCACCTCTACTTTTGCTTTTTCTTGCTTGTAAGAGATTGGGGGAAGTTGGTGCGTGTGCGCTACTAAAAAGATCCAAATATAAGAGGGACTTGAGAGAAACGATCAATCAGATCAAATCAATACATTGATTGAAGTTAAATAGCATGTATGCAACACTCTATTCCTTTGCTCTTGATATATATTTAACCACTATTTATCTAAGTAGTGTTTCCAAGAATATCTCTCAAGTGATGGTCCGTGTCCAGTCTATATATGCACTCTACATGTACACGAAGATACTATCAGCTTTAATATTAAGTGGTCTTGAAGCATGCTAGCAAGAACGAGGGCCTGAATAGCACAAATACCTGGGGGATTTATCGGCAGATACAGGTATATAGTTGCACACAGTTCTGAACGATTCTCATTTGCGATTTAGATTTTTCAGCTCGGGAATTCTTGAGTCTCGTTCATTAAAACAACGAGAGAACTATCAAATCGACAAATGCCACACCTGCCTTGGCGAGCCAAGGCACACTAAAAGCCACATCCTTTTTTAAGGCGGGGTCTGCATCATACGCCTGAGCCCGCTATTAGTAGTTAAGAGGTTTAGTTAAAGTTTAGGGCAGCTGAACTAATATTCTAGCGCTATTAGGCGTCGGGCTTCTTTAAAAAACCGAGGGCGACCATAAGGTTCCGACAACCATCCCGTGGTTTTAGCTAGATACAAAAAACTTTCAACGGACAGCGCTAGCTATATTTCACATATCATTTCATTGGTTTTCAACTCATCATTATGATTTCTAAAAATTTTCTATCTTTAAAAACCAATTCTAATCCCCCCATCTCAGCGTTACAGAGGTCAGTCAGCGTTTACCTGCGCGGCTTACGACTAACGTATGCCGCGCCACACTCAACCTCTTGGCATTAGGGCCTGCTTAACTTGCTCAGGGCAACGAACTGCTGGCAAAGCTCGCTCAATGAATACATGTCAGATAATCTAGTGAGCTTTACAGCCCTTGCCTACCATGTTTAAGCTATTAAATTGGATGGCGTGATATATGATCTCCTCGTGTACTCCGTATTACAAATTCTGAGCGTTTGGCATTTCTCAGCAGTGACAAACTCCCCAGTCATTGATGAATGACTTGCAGACATCGCATGGAACATAACATCGTAGGCTGAGATGCGATGTGCACACGGCCCACTGATAACCCGAAACCCCTGGATGATTTCATTCCAGAGGCGCATCACTCCATCAGATAATAGCTACTTCTGTCCCCAGTGACTGACTTGTGACCATTTCATTTGTTGGCCCGGGTATCGAGAGTACGGCGGACAACAAGCCATCAAGTTTAGTAGGGGTTAAATAGTCAGATATAGTGCCAAGTCCAGGCCATGATATTATCTCTCTCTTTACTCGTGGCATATTCACTCAAAATGAAACTCATGAGCTGGCGTAGCGATATGTCAACTTTGACGTCGAGGAGTTACGTCTGTCAGGGCGGCTGCTGTGGGTGCCAAATATTGCATCCAAAGATTCCTAATCCCAATGCCGGCCGTCTTCACCTCACTACTGCTAGTGAAATAGCGTGGATGGAATTTTGCACCTACTACCTATTCTCTATCCCAACGCTACCGAGTCCCTTTTGATTTTACTTTTAATAGGTGCGGAGCATATGCAAAGCCCCTGTTCCAAAGGTATATTCATGGAACTCGAGGCGAAACTCTGTAGGTGTGGAGTAATATCATTTAGCGAAGGTTCCTGGCGTGCTGCTAGATTTAGTCTGGCCTAAGATTGCTTGATACCAAAGAGCGAGGATGTCTTTCATTCGATTTTAGTTTCGCGGTCTGTACTTCGCAAGGACACTTGACGGATTTAGACTCAAAGCATGTCTTATGAACAAGAAGGGCTCAAACGGTTGGATGGAAGGTTTGCCATCCGGCCGTCCATGGGAGGATCACAGTTGAATTTGACGGCGGACTGTGTAAGTCCTTTTATTATGAGTTATAGGACTATCTAACTCAAGATAACATAGGGTCACCGGTGATAGAGTACCTAACAGCCATAGGCCATTCAGAGATCTCCTTTACGGTGTAGGAACATACCATCTCACGAGAGAAACTAATAGCTCTGGAGAGTTATCTCACACTGCTCAACCTTACTTTCAGGATTATGATGGCCCACAGCTTCACGGCCTCAAAGGAACTAGTTCACGACCTAATTTGTGAGAGGATTTACTCAGGCTGGAAATTGAAGCCCAAAGAGAAGCCAGGGCTCTATATCACAAGCAAGCCTTTTTGATACAGAGCATCGTTCACAAAAACAAACCCCAAAACTATACCATGGCCTAGAGTACAAAGATAATCCTACATTTGACTTATTGCTCCTTGCTTGAAATCTCTTGATCAACATCGAAGGGCCCTTACCTTGCTCAGGTTGTTGAACTGGAGAATGGGCAGACCTTCCTGGTATTAAACCCACAGACGGCAAAGTTCCTCGGTTTCCATTCTACTTTTCTCCCAAGGAAAAAGCGGAGGTTGAAAGAGACATGGATGGACTGTCACTGGGCATGCAAGCAATGCAGAGTATCAACGACAATGTCAGGGATCTGTTCCCAGAGCAAGGGATTGCAAGGCCAGAGCAGTATGGGCAAGCTAAGGATGCTCTGCCCCTGGGTGAAGTAATTCATCATAAGTGAATTCGCCCCCAACGAAAATGAACAGAAGGTGTGGGAGGAAGATTGACCATTCGACAATTGATGCCAAGTCTACATCCTTTTCGAGAGTTAATATGATTTGGTGCGTGGTGGGCTATTCGGCGTATCAGGCAGAGAGAGCTTGTTATAATAGTCAAGAGTTGACGTCGGGGATCCTGAAGAATATGTGGTCTATCGCCCTCCTGAGATTCCCTACAAGCATCCTTAATAAGATCTGATAAGTCTGCAAACCAGCGTCACAGGGACACTGACTACTAAACACCGCGCCATAAGCGCTCGATGAGCTGGACAAACTTTGCTCGGATGTGGGAGGCTCCTTCCTAGACAAGTCTTCATCCGCTTGGTGGCCCTCCTTGGTTGGGATTATTTATTTTCTATTAAGAAAGGTGTGATAACCGAGTGTTGCATATGGGATTTTTGGCACAAACCAGACCTACCTATTTAGATAGGTATAGTACCTTACCTCCTATACGTCGCTCTATTTAGACGTCTTGGATCTTTCTCTTAGGGTCGATGTTCATCCTAATTTCAAACCGCGTCAATTACACCGATCGTACCCGTGGCTCTTGATCCAGTATACGGATGTATGCGCTCGATCTACTATTACTGACACTATATGCAGAACCAGACATTTTATGGTGGGGTATATCTGATTGGACTGGAATTAATTATGCAACAAAGAAAAAATAGAAACGGCAAAACAATGTAAATCAGGATGCAGAGGAGACAGGGATGAGATTTTAAGGAGAGAAACTGAGAACTGCGTTACAGGTGTACCATGTACCATGAACTATGAAATGGGTATTATAAACTTGGAAAGAATGAATAGTAATGTATGTTCATGTAACGAATGGGCTATATGACATGCGGGTGTAAGTTAGTAGAAAGCACACCAGCGTGCAAAATAAGGATAGAACCAAGGAAGAAAAGGATATCGCAAACTGGACCTATACATAATATTGAGAACCTGGATATCCCACCTCGAAAGCTTTTCCCTGCCGCTCTAGCTGTCCGTCTCAATTTCATGCACTCTCGAGAAACGATCTAACACTTCGCATCGCACCACCAATTGCCCCTCCCCTTCTGAGAGCTCTGGCCGCACCATTTCCAGTTTCGGAAGGCTTAGGTGGGTTAGGTGGGTTAGGTGGGTTAGTTTCTTTAGGTGGGTTAGCCCCGCCAGACCCGGGGAACTCATCCCACGGAGAGCCGTCGTTCGGCATCCCACCGTCCTCGGTCCACCAGTTCACGTTTTTGGGGTTCCGCACGGCTTGGGGGTTGACTCCCACGTCGATGGTCCCCCAGATTCCGTCTTTGATGGAGCCGCCTATCGTCTGGGTCTGCACTATCGGGTTATCGCCTCCCTGAAATCCTATCCGGAAAAGCACGTCTCTATCATTGGGTGTCCATCGTTGTTTGTTCGTCGTATACGGCGAAGTGGCTTCGACACTTTTGATCAGGGGTTCATTAAAGTAGATCTGGCCAACATGGGAAATGGTGCCACCTCTGATGGTATCATTTTGGAGCCTCGTAGCTCCATGGTGGATAATTACTGAAATTGGTAGTTAGTTGATCTGTCTAGATGAATATATAGAATTCGATTATGGATTCTTGGGGGAAGAGGGGATCGTGTTTACTGTGTAAGTGATTAGCACGCCCAGTGTAGTGGCCCGGGAAAACGGTGGTAAACGAGGCCGTGCCGTTCTGAGCTGTCGGTTGGATCCCTCGCAGGGCGTTGTTATCAATCTCGGCGGGGTTGCCGTCGCCATTTCCAGGAGCCACGACACCAGTGTAGACGCCCTATGGAGGAGGGGGAAAAAGGGATGTTTAGCATGTTGATAAGGGGTGCCTTTAAATATCTCACTTTTTGTTCCGCGGGGGAGATGGGGGTTTCTCACAGTCGAGTTGCAGCCCCATAACTCAACATATGCATCTGGGATGGGCTGACAGTTCGACACATCGATAACGTTGATATCAAGGTGAAGGGCTACGCTAGGTTCCACCTTCCCGCCCACTCCCGAACGGACATCCTCGCGGATAAGTTCTCCCGCAACCCCTTTTGATGTTCAGTAAAGCTGTCTTTTATCCCCCAAAGGGCAAGTTGGAGGGAACAAGTGATAGTAAAATAAAATGGAACCCTTACAGTAGGGGCCCTCCATGACTTCAGGATCCAGCACGCAGCTAGCTTGGCGGCCAAAAAGCTCTACATCAAGGCCAGAGTCACGGCGAGCCAGAGACTTATATCCAGCACGCTCCCGAAGTTCATTCAGGCGGGCATGCCTCCGATCAGCCTGGTAGGATATCCAACCACGCTTCTGGAGATCGCTCGTACATTCGTAGACTCCGCGTCTTGCAGAATGTTGAAGATGATACTTACGCCGGTGAACATCTCCCTCGATGGAATGGCCAGGATGCGCAAAGCTGGCTACGGCCAGAAGCATAGGCACAAGCGCGAGGGAAAGGAACTGCATGAGCGAAAGTTTTAAGGAAGAAGTAGAAGAAGGAAAGGTAAGATGCCCAAGGACAAGAAACAGAGGCATAAATGAAATCTAGCGGCGATATCAAGCGGGCATGACTGTCTCTATATATGATGCCTGGGCAGGCATCTTGTTAGGCTAAGGGATCAGCTGAGAAATTTGCGAGGAGCAACATAACTAACTAGCGAAAGCTTGGATGAAGGAGCTAATTTTCAGGCAAGGGCCAGGATAAATATCAAAGGGTTGAAATAGCAATTCCATTGTTTTCTATCCGTTAAAGACTCGATCCATGTTCGTTTCAGCCTTCGGCAGATGAGGCCAGTGATGGCATTGGGCATGCGTTTTCAAAACCGAGACTGCGGCCGTTATTCCAACCGCCTATCCGCAGAGAGTGAGGCTTGTAACTAGGGATTGGTTAGGTTCCAAAGGATCAGCAAAAGCCTCAAGAATGAGGTTTTGAGTTTTTTAGCCTCTGGCCTTGTCGGAGAGGAAGTGAGAAAAGCAGCGGGATATGGGGAAGAAATGATGAAGCCCCAGGAACAAACTACTCTTCCTTCAATGGGAGTAAAGAGTTGCATTATTGCCCATAACCGCAGAACCGCCGAGAAGAAGACGTGTCGGATTGGGTGTCACGGATGAATATGTTGAAGACATATGAATCTTATCTGTATCAAGATCTGCTTGTTATATTATCCGTGCACTATCTAATATATCTATTTCATACAAAAGATGGAGCTATTTATAGTAAAATATATGTGCGAGCCAAGAGAGCTAGCATAAGCGAGTATTAGACGAGCGTTGTAGTAAGCTGATGATGATGAGAAATATTGTAGTAATACGATGTTGGTGGCGTTCAGTAGTGTATAACCTCTTTTTCCTGACAAGACGTAACTATGGTGAGGGCATTGACTGTGTTTCCTGCAGTTCTTCGCTTATCCACAACTTGCTTGAAGGCTTAAATAACTAAGTTAACTAGTTCCTGTCAAGTTGCTAGAACGAAGCCAAAAGCGGAAACCAAGACTAGCCGAGCCGCCCAAGTCCATATCAAAACGGTGCGATTGCGATTGATGGATTTACGTGGACAGGTATATATGTATGCGATGTCAAACATATGCCGAAATACTACGTACAGCGTAACTAGTGCATGCGTAGAACCTACGTGCATGGCCAGCATCGGCATATGACCGATTAAGTGAACAATTCGAAGAGGATTGTTGCCTCGAAGTGGTGTCTGCTTGCTTCTTGCAGCCCAGTGAGAATGGGGATAGAAAAGTGAGAAGAAACGCGAGCAACCGATGCTCCTCTGATGTACTTTGATTGTCTCATCTGATCGGTTCACTGGCATCCAGATTGGATTAAATAAATCAATGATTCTGAGTTTTCCCTATCACGCACGCTGAGTAACTACAACAAATTACCCCTCGGCCCAATTCGTCGTATAGGTGTTCAGGGTAATAATACCTAGGGCTACGCGATGTTGTGAGAGGTGAGATTCTCGTTATTCCGTTCGTGATACGAATGAACTGTTACTTGTGAGAGGCAAATATGCTAATAGGCAGATTTTTCTAGAATTTTTCTAGATACACAGTATCCAATTTATACAAATTCCCATCTGACCCTCGCTAGATGAGAGCTTCACAACTTCAAAGATTCGAAGAAGATGTTCATCATCTCAAATGTAAGAAGCAGCTATGTTAAGAACGCTTTGGGACAAACAACTAAATAAAGATTGGTTCATTTGACCAACACAAAGCAGTCTCCAACACGTCATAGAATTTATACTGGATAAACCCCCAGCTGTTAGCTGTGCAAAGCATCAAAACAAGCTTTTTGGACAACCCCTGCAGAAAATGAAAAAAGTTCGAGTTTGACTGTGAAAGACAAAGCTGATGGGGAACCTGAAGTGGCGTTTCCAATCCATACTTGTGACTCTTAAAAAGGATTCAAAGTCCATCTCACAGACTGTATCTCGACAACGGGGGAGATCCTCAGCTCTAGAACACCGACTTGGGGAAAAAAAATATCATTACATATGCCTCGACAAATTGACGTGGGCAGAGGTCATAAATACCAAGTCTTTGGTTTCGAACGAGCTACAACCAGAACTATCATGAAACCAACCCGATCCCGTAAAGGAGTTTCAAGTCATCAAGAGACCAGTGTGTGTTCTAGGTCCACTTGATTCCAGCGCGCCAAAATAGCAGTACACCACTCCAGACTTGCGGCTCTGGGGAATTCAGTGATTTTCTTCCAGTCAGTTCTGGGTTTGCAAACATTTACCGACGCCTTGGTTACAGCAAGCTTCGCATCACGCATGTGGTCTCCCAGGCCAATTGTTATGTTGGTTCATGTTAAAATGTTGGGTTGCATAGCATTTGCAAGCAGCACGCGGGGCGGAGGTAGGTTCCCGGATTGCCCTACGACTGACCACGATATGTACATAAATATCATCGTGTCTTCCGGCCTGCTGTTTAAGTTTCTACAGATCATTTCCTCTTTTTCTTTCTTTCTTGTTTCTCTTTTTGGTTTCTGTAATTTCCATGACAGGAAAGCGTTGCGTTTGAAAATCAATCGCACAAGGCCCAGCATGGTTTGGCTCAGACGAGTCATTCTTTTCTTGTCTGTGGTATGTTCAGTTGTTTCAGCGCGGTGTACCACACCAGGACAGCGCAAAGCATGGTACGCATATTCTTCCCATATAACTGGAAGAAACAGGCGTGCTCTAACCCCGTTCCACTGCAAGAGTTAATGGCTGATAAAAATTGCAGGCACACTTTGAGCAACTCTGAGAAACAAGCATACATCGATGCTGAGCTCTGTTTGATGAGAAAACCACCTAAAACCGCTTTTAAAGGTGTAATAACACGGTTTGATGATTTCCAAGCTCTTCATGTGCACACAGCATATATGAACCATTATGTCGTATGTTCCCGCTATACCACGAAGAGCCGATACAACAGTCGTTCGAAGCCGATGGCTAATTTGCGATATATCACCTAGGGAGCATTCCTTCCCTTCCACCGGTTGATGACGTATAGTCATGAGGCTGCGCTTCGGGAAGAGTGTGGCTATAAAGGCTACCAACCGTGAGTTCTGTCTAACCCGTTTGCGTGTGTTACCACACAAAAACCTGCCGGAATAGCTCTGTCGAGTAACCACGTTATATATAACCTTCCTAACATATCCCGGAACTTGAATTTCCAGCTATTGGTATGAGCAAATGGATGCAGGGAAATTTTCCTCATCTGACATTTTCGACTCCGTCTATGGCTTCGGCGGCAATGGGTTTGGGAGGGAAGGCTGTATCACCGACGGACCTTTCGCAAACTATACAAGCCCGTTTGGACCGGGATCCGAAATTAGAACCCAGTGCATCGATCGAAATTTCGATGATGCGGTTAGCTTAGGCACCTCCCGGGCACGGGTGGAGGACTGCACCTCTAAACCTAACTGGATATCAGCATGGAATTGCATCGAGCTGAACCCTCATGGTGGTGGCCACAATGGCGTCGGGGGCCAAGTGAGTGATGCCTCAGAAAACCATTTCCCGCCCCTGCACCGATTTAGATCATGTTCGTGAGGTAAATCTAATAGGTATTCATTTTTTCACTCTCGTTAGATGGCCAGAGGTGGCGCTTCCCCCGGTGATCCTATCTTCTTTCTCCATCACGCCTGGATCGACAAGTTGTGGTGGGACTGGCAGGCGAAGGACCTTCCAGCGCGTCTGTCTGAGATGGGTGGAACTAATTTTGATGAAAACTCCGGCTTCCCTCCCGGTCCGCCAGACTATCCGTAAGTTGCCTATTTCTTCTGCCTTCATGCATGAGATTTAAAAGGAACTAATTTTGGTAAAACTAAACGCGACAGACAACCCGGAGCAATGCCCGGTGATCCGGGAAACATCACCACATTAAATCACGTCCTCTTCATGTTTGGCACTATGGGCGACGATAAGATAATTGCCGATGTGATGGATATTCAGGGAGATTTCTTATGTTACGGGTACGTAGATCCAGAGTAGTTTTGAATTTGAAGCTTTCCTACCAGTTTCGCTCGAGAACCACGAAGTAGACAAGAATTGCTAGGTTATTATTATTACATATTAGAAAGTAACTAGCAAAAGGTGATGCATTTACTTCCAGCTTTCATTGTGTTATTTTCAAGAGACTGTCAAGGGCCAAGGTCCAAATCACGGGTTTAGTTTGGCTGCAACATTCATACCGGAAAAGCTTAGGGTTATTACACGACCGGATTATGGCTGTTCTACTGTTTCAATTGGTGACATGGTCACTGAGATAGTATAATGATGAATGAATGATGAATCACTGTAAATAAGTTGTAAACAGAAAAACTCAATTATCATATTAATAATGTTGTCATTCAATCTATACAATCACTAATTCTAAAAAATATCTCATTTATTGATATCATTCTTTATTAGATATTAATGTGACTCATCACTCAACAAACTCATTCACTTAACAAACTGCTATTTTTTCCATGAATTCCTGCAACTCTTCAACTTCAATGACTTAACAAGTAATCACTCAATTGAATTAATAATTAATTTCTAAATATGCTGAGATTGTAAAGAAATTCAGAGTCAATTATATTATCTTAATACAGCAGTTTAAAAATTAACAGATTTTCAGAATAAAAATAACATTAATTTAATATTAAAATCTTATAAATACTGAAGAATAATATCTTTTATTTTATATTAATCAGTTATTTAACACAGTTTCTCTGTGATATTTTAAATACTGTATAATTTTATATTCAAAATTATTAAAATATAAATAGAAATTAACTAAAAGTCTTACTTTTATAAATAATATAAAATAAAAATTAATAGTATTTTTTTATACTCTGAATTGAAAGACAAATCAGATAGATAATAATTTTTATTTTAAATAATTTTTTATTCATATAATTATAATTTTTGTATTTCTTTTAATATATAATTTCATGAGTTTTTTACTGATTTTATAAAAGGTGTAAAACTTACTTGATTGAAAAGCTTACTAGCTTGTGAGAAGTTATATATCTTGAAGAATAACATTGTTATGTTGTAATCTAACTACGCGAGTTACACTAAATGAATAGATTGAGGTGATACATGACTAGAGTAGATGTAGTAATCATCAACACCTTCTCTTACTATATCATGATCTATAATAAGTCATCACCCGGAGCCTTCTTCATTCTCAAATCTTTCAAAAATGCAATAATAATTAATTACATGAATCAGACTCTGATTTCCTCATTAGAAAAGATGTCTGTACAGCAATAACTGTAAAAATCAAGAAATACATGCAAAATTCATTGATTCACTGTATTATTATTATCATTCAATCATTTCTTTCTAATCTCTTTCAAATCAATTCTTTTGATAAAATCTTCAAACGCAGGCTTTGTCAGTGACTTGATAAGCCTGTCAGCTATATTCACTGTAGAATTAACATGTTTCATCATAATTTTCTCTTTTTCAATCAAATTGCAGAGAATATAATATCTAATCTCAATATAATGTGATCTTTGTGTTAAGAATTCTCTCTTTGCTAGATCAATTGCTCTCTTATTATCAACTTATAGATGTGAGTATATTTTCACTTTTTTATCATTTATTAACTCAGTATTATATAACATATCATTCAATCAGATTATCTCACAAGCTGTCTTACTAGCTGTAATATATTCAGCTTCTGTGATTGATTTAGCAATAGATATCTGTCTCTGCAACTGCTATGAGATCAGTGACTCATTAATCAATATAATATAGTCAGTAGTCAATTTGTATTAAGAATCTGCTCTCACTCAGTTCAAATCACAGTATGTTACAGAACTCAGGCCATCTTCTATCTTCTTCTTGTACAATATGTCATGATTTTTCATCTTCTTGACATAATGTAGGACATGCTTCAACACTGCTCAACATGCTTTATATGAATACAAGTTAAAACACAAGAAATAGTTGACTGTAAATACCAGGTCTGATCAGCTGCTTGAGATTAAATACTGTAATAATCTCAATTCTTGACAATATCTTATAGCTGTAAAGTTATCATTCAATTCATCATTCTCATCAGATGAAAATTTCAGTCATATACCTGCTATTATAGAGGTCTCTGCAGGATTCATCTTATTCATATCAAAATCTTCAAGAATCCTCTCAATATAACAGCTCTATATAACTGCTAGATTGTCATTTCTCTGATATTTGATCTTCATCTCAAGATATGACTTAGTCTCTTTAACATTCTTTGTCTTAAATCTCTTTGCAATCTCTCTCAATACTCAGTCTAATTACTGTTCTTAAGATCTCATCATCTGATAATTATTAATATGCAATATCAGATAGATCTTACAAACAGAGTGATATAGAAATTCACTATTATAAGATGATATCTTGAATCTCAATGTAGTTAGATACTCTGTTGTAAGGAAATACTATACTCTTGTGACTTACTTCATTTTATATAGACTCTGATAAAGTAATCTTATCAAGCTCTCTCTGCTATACTTAACATCTGTGAGTAGTTACATATAGATCATCTCATTCTGTGATAGTATGCTATTCAAAAATGTGAATACATAGTCAATTAATTTGATCTTTCATTCTTTGACAGTTGATATAGTAAATAGACTGTGTAATATAAGCTCTGATATCACTACAGTATACAATCTTGTATAATGAATACTCTGCTGTTGCAAGAACTCTCTAATCACTCAGTGAGTTTTAAAGTGAATGATTTCTTTCTTATTATTGAATTTCTGATCATATACTCATTTATCTGTAAGAATATTCATTTTCAGAGTCTTCTCAACAATAATATATATCTTCTTCTATTTAAATATCTTAATCTTCTTTTTCATTGTCTCATGTCAATAGTCTCAGTCTGAACTTCTTTTAACTTCTGTCAGCATAGTTAATTGATCTGTCAGAATACTTAGAATAGAATCATTCTTATTAATAGAGTCTTCAGACTCTTCATTCATGACAAGCTGTGTCTTATTATCTAGAAGATAAGTTAAATCAATTATATTCTCTAAGTTCTCATTGACAATTATCTTCAAAACATCTGACTTTTTCTTCACTAAATGTTATAGTAAGTAGTGCTGTCATCTCTCTCTGACATTCAGAATATTCAATTCATTAGACAATTCATTGAATTCTCTCACTGTATTTACAGGTGTATTTACACTCATGTCAAGAGCTTTATCAAATATGACATCTCATGCAATCTCAAGATGATGTGCAACAGAATCTCACACATGATATTAATGTAATTCTTGATATTCAATCAGCTGTTATTTCTTGTCATCAGTTCTATCTGCAAGCTTATTTAACACTTTCAAATTCTTCTTATAGACCTTGCACTCTCATCTCTGTATTCAATGAACAGAAGATTGCATCTCAGTTCATACTTTAAAAGATGTAAGTGATATTTCTTTCTTACATTCAAATATCTTTGTTAATATTAAGAATGTGTTGATTATCATGATCACAGCTTGTATTATCTCATCTCAGAGCTCTTTCATCAGCTCACTATTAAATAGCAAGCTTCTTGTCTTCTTTGTAACTATTTAATTTATATGTTCTGCTGAGTCATTTGATTGTGATGTATCAGATGTAGTTGTTTCATACACTATTTCTTTACTCTGACAGTAGGTTTTAAGTTCTTGACTTTTGAACTCTTCTTCATCATCTCAGTGTAGAGTTTCAATTCAGTGTTGAGTAGTGATCTCAATTTCATCAATAAAGGTTATCAAACATGCAGTGATCTCACTCTTTGATATCATAAGAATAATTCACCTGTAGTGTGTAGTATTATCTGTAATACTTATTCAATAATTAGCTCTCTCTTGAGTAGAAAGATTGACTTCATTATATAGTATACAGTCATCATCTGTAAGATTCATGAAGAATCTCATCACAGATTTGATAGTTCTTGTTATTAAAGTGAATGTTGAACATGTCATTTTTATCTGTACATAGGTCTTGCAGAATGACAAAGCTCTGCTATCTCTTATTCTCATTTCTAGTTATGAATCTGCTGTCATTTTTGCAATATCTGTGAAATTCAGATATTCTAGCTTTTAATGCCATTGCATCATTGTAAGTTCTATAACCTTTGTATTATTTCTTTTAGATAGTGTTAATATTATGTCATTACTCTTTATCTGCAGTGTATTCACAGGTTTAAAATCATCATTGAGTATAGTGAATCAGATCAAGTCTCTATATGTGACTGGTCTTTTCATCTCATAGATATCATTCTCATTTAATCTTACTGTAAATGAGAACATGCAGTCAGAAGACATAATCAACATAGTATGATTATTCTTATATATCAACTGCTTATAGATATAACTCTGATATACAAGCTTATTCATACTCATGAGATTCACTTCTAACTTCAGAACATAGCAGATATCATTTAATAGCATATTTATCTCTTTCACTGAAATCTTTGTATCTTCTATAGCTGCAGCAGAGATCATCATTTTATCTGCTATTTTCAACATTACTTTCACCTTCTGAGGTTTTGTCATGATAAGATTTCTGTGAGATGTGGCATGAGTATCTGATTCAGAGTCTAGAATTCAGGTATCTTTTTCTGTCTGATCACTCATATAGACCTTTTCCTTGATGCAAAATACTTGCTTTATAATATTGTAAACAGAAGCAGTATCTGCATTCTCTGCATTCTTATCTTTATTCTTGTTTCTATTGATGTTGAAATTTGAATTCAAAGAACATTTCTCAGAGTATTTCTTTCAACAGTTAGTCTGAATATGATTAATCTTTTGACAATGATAGCAGGTCTTCACATTATTACCTCTACATTCAGATTTGAATTCAATGTTCTTGTCTTTCTTATTCTTGTCTTAAGCATTATTCGCGGGATTTTTTGTGGATTCAGTACTACTATTTTCCACAGTAGAAAGGTGTAGAAGTATGTCATAGTATAATCTTATAAAGTCTTCTTCTAAAGGTCTTAAATTGTTCTTATTGATCTGGTTCATTCTATTCTTTATGAAGAATGCTCAATCTCTATTAACTTCTGTCAGTAATCTATTGAAAAACATAATATCTTCAATCTTATATTTCAGATAAATATAATCAGTTCTGATAACAATTAATTATTCAATAAAAGCTCTATCAGATTCTTTACTTTTGAAGATTATTTTAATAAACTCTTTAAATAAATAAGTTCTGTGTACAGCAGGTCTCTTAGAAAAGTTATTCTCTATAATAGTTTATAGAGTATAAGCTGATAATTTGAACTTCTTAAGTATAGTGAAATGAGTCTTGATCTGCAGAGCAATTACAGACTATATATAATTATATAATCAAAGATTGCATTCTTTTCAGAAATATTATATATTTATAATAGTATTCTTATTAAAATCATTATCTTTAAGAATATCATCAGTTTCAGACTATTCTGCAGTTAAAAGAATTTCCTCTCTTTATATTAAGTAGTTAATGAATTCAGTAAGAATAATTAATCTTTTAATAAGTCTTACTTAGCTTCTGAATTCTTCAAGAACTTTTATTATAACAGATATCTTCTCTTTTCATTAAAGATATTCTATCAGATCTGCTCTTATCTTATTATCTACAGAGTTATCTCTACTAGTCTTTATTCACTTAATCTCATACTGAAGTCTTGTAATTTCTAGTCTCATGTGAGTCTTCTCACTCACTGAGCTATTATTATTTCAGTTATTTAAGCTCTCTATATTGTCTGACATCTCACTGATATCTTCAATCAGATCTTCATATTTATTGAACTTATCAGACTGTTTCTCTGCAATAGTTTCATTCAGCTCAAATGCCTCAGAAGCTGCCTTCTGATTCATTATTAACATTGACAGTGATCTGTGATCTTGTGTTTGCTGCTCTGGCATTTTCTCATTTCTTCATCTTGAAGATATGTATTCTTTTGTTAAGTCAGGTGTCCCCCCGGATCTTAGATTAACCATGGATTCAATTAATCAATAAATCATCTAGGCACGCTTGTAATGATGCGTGGAGATATCAATTTAGCACATTATTTCAGCGGTTTTCGTTGCTTGCGAAGGGCTTCATAACCTCTTGGAGGATAACGTTGTTGTGTTGTAATCTAACTACGCGAGTTACACTAAATGAATAGGTTGGGGTGGCACGTGACTAGGGTAGGTGTGAGAGAGGTTGAACGTGGTTGGTTGTTATTATCTAACTAGTAGCTAGTGGAAGCTAAATATATGTGTGTGGGTCACGTGGGTTAGGGCTTGTGTAGTAGCTCCAACACCCCCCCATGCTACGCAGGCCAGTTAATCCATGCAGTCAAAAGCGCCCAAATCATTCAAATCTGCAATAAAAATTAATTACAAAAAGTAGAGTCTAGTTTCCTCATAAGGACTAGCTCCATACATGAAAAACATAAAAAACATGCAAGAAGAACGCTCAAATCCATTCTTTCAGTATTGGTATTACCCCCAGTTGTTCTAACGCCGCGGGATCTCATTCTTATTATTTTTGTGGTTTTCATCGTCATAGGCATAGGCATAGGTCATCGGCATAGGTCATCGGCATAGGTCATCGGCATAGGTCATCGGCATAGGTCATCATATGGGCAATCGGCATAGGTCATCATATGGGCAATCGGTGGCCCGGCATCATATAGGCACTGGGGCCTGGCATCGTAGGCACTGTGGCCTGGCATCATATAGGCACTGGGGCCTGGCATCGTAGGCACTGGGGCCTGGCATCATATAGGCACTGGGGCCTGGCATCGTAGGCACTGGGGCCTGGCATCATATAGGCACTGTGGCCTGGCATCATATAGGCACTGGGGCCTGGCATCATATAGGCACTGGGGCCTGGCATCGTTATCGGTATTTCCATCGTTTTGGCGTCGATATTGGCGGTCATCATGAGCATCATTAGAAGACTTGCTCAGTATTGTAGCATACAGGTGTAGCGGCATCATCATCATTGACCTTCTTTCTATTCTTCCAATCCGCAGGTCGTTTCTCTGGGTGTTCAAACCAGCAGCTTGGTTCATCATGGCCTTCCATCTTGCAGGCAGTGCATTTCTTCTTGGTGTTCTTATTATCCTTCACATCCTTGGTGGCATCTTTGTTATTCTTTGTGTCATTTCTGGCATTTTTGTCATCCAACGGCAGGCGGAGTAGTATATCCCTGCAGAGATCAAGGAAATCATCTTCTAGTGATGTGGCATTATCATCCTTTGCTGCATAGTCCATGCGATCTCTGATAAAGGTTGACCACTTCTTGGTGAGGCCGTTGAGGAGCTTGTCAAAGAATATGAAGTTGGGGATATTAGCATATCCAAGGCGGATATACTCAACGCGGATTGCAAGCAGGCGTTCTATGAACAAGCGGTTGAAGCCATCATAGGTGGCAGTTGCACTGATATCATTGAATTCCTTGGACAGGCGGGCTCTGCGGATTTCCACCCATTCTGAAAAGGATGCTGCTATGGCGTTCCATAGAGCAGCAGAACTCAGGGAATCTTGGGGTATAGTAAAAAGAGATTTGGCTTCAATAGAAACAGAAGACCATACAAAATTGTATAGCCAGGAGTTGCGTTCCTCCCAGAATCGTTTCATATCCTTAGAGGCATTCTCCAAGGGCTTGCTAGTGAGGATATCTTCTGTATGAGATTGCTTGACAACAAGCAGGATCTCTTCCTTCCAAATGGAGTAATCAGATGTTGATTTGAGAAGACCTGGTTTTTGGAGGTATTTGACGCGTTCGCGGAATTCTTGGAGGACTCTGCTCAGTGCAGGGGTATCCCCTTGATTCTGAAGGTAAGCAGCAAGATCAGGGCTTAGATCATTGCCATCATTGACAGTAGCTGTAGCAGTAGGATTGCTAGAAGCTCTCATCTGGCGTAGTTCTTCATCCATCTGGGCAATACGTCGCCTCAAGGCAGCAGCTTCATCAGCCATATTGTCGTTATCTTGATTATTGTTATTGTGTGGTGGTTTTCTCGCGGTTATTGGGGTTGGAAAGGATCCAGGTGCAGTAGTTTGATTCTCTGGGGTTTCTTCACAATTGGTTGATCTCGTATTGACAGGCATTTGATATGAGGTATTTGAATGAAAGAAGCAGCTATTTGAAAAGCTTATTGTATGATTATTGCATGATTATAATGCTTCGTAGAAGTGCAAGGGCTTCATAACCTGTGAGAGAGGTTGAACGTGGTTGGTTGTTATTATCTAACTAGTAGCTAGTGGAAGCTAAATATATGTGTGTGGGTCACGTGGGTTAGGGCTTGTGTAGTAGCTCCAACAGTAGGTGTAGTAATCACCAACAATATAGTGAAAGAATTAGTAAGTCAGATTATATAATCTGATACTCTCACTTATCAGAGTAACTATACACTATACTATATATAAAATTCACCTTCAAATCAAGTACAGATATATTAAATGACTGAAAAATGTATAGTAATAAAAAATCAGTTATAAGATTTATTATTTTTTATTCCTCTATCTCTTTATCTTCTTTATCTTAATATTCTTCTTTCAATGTATATATTTCATTGTTTTAAGTGATTTAATAAGCTCATTCACTGCGTTCTCAGCAGATGAAATGTATTGAATAGATATCTTATTCTTACAGATGAGATGCTAAAGAATATGAAAATAAACCTCTATATAGTTTAAGCAGTGTGAAATTGCTTTGAAGAAGAATAGCTCTATAACAGACTTATTATTAGTATGAATTATATAGACAAGATCATTGACTGTAATGAGAATAAACTGACTGTATAACTGTGTCTGAGATTAGAATCAGAATATTTAATAATTTTATTACTAATTTAACTGATCTTATTACATAGTTTTAAGATTAGATAGTAGTCTTATACTGTTTCAGTCAGACTTACTGTCTACTTTTATCACATTTTTCAAATAAGATCATGATTTTCACTTCTCAATTTAAATTCTTCTTATTGCTTTAAATGACTTTAAATCTCATTTAAGTGTTATCAAAAAGTGTTACTTTTTAAAAAATTAAACATAGTCTAAAAGAAACCTTAAAATGTTTGAAAATAATAACTTTATACTAAGAATGAGACTAAATAAAATTCAATAAGACTACTTTCTTATTTTTTCTCAGTCATAATCTCATTTTGAGATCTGATAAATAGTCACTTTGCATTTTTTTTTAATGATTAGTCTCAGTAGAATTTATACTAAGAAATGTATGAGATCAGATTAAATGAAATTAAATGTGAAATTTGTAATTCTGACAGTTAGTCTAGATGAGAATGAGATAATCATTATTATTCAGATTATTGAGATGAGATGAAATGAATTCAGTGTCTTCTAGAAGCTCACAGAGACAGATAAGCTTATATACAGTCTCAGAGAATATAATATATTCAGTCTCAGTTAATAATTTAAAGATCTCAGTTTATCAGCAGCTTTATCATATAACAGAGTCATTTATTGTATAGATGATATAACTGATAATTGAACAGAATTCTGAATCTCTATCAGCTTAATTAGTATCTGTATATAGACTAATCATGTGACCGTGTCTGAGACCAGAACCAGATTTTTTAATAGTCTTATTACTAATTTAACTGATCTTATTACATGATTTTAACATTAGATAGTAGTCTTATACTGTTTCAGTGAGACTTACTGTCTACTCTTATTACATTTTTTAAATGAAATCATGATTTTCACTTCTCAATTTAAATTATTTTTATTGCTTTAAATGACTTTAAATCTCATTTGAGTGTTATCAAAAAGTGTTACTTTTTAAAAAATTAAAAATAGTCTAAAAAAAACCTTAAAATGTCTAAAAATAGTAACTTTATGCTAAGAATAAGACTAAATGAGATTAAATAAGATCACTTTCTCATTTTTTTCAAGTCATGGTTTTATTTTAAGATCTTATATATAGTCACTTTGCATGTTTTTTTAATGACTAGTCTCAGCGGGATTCACATTAAGAAATGTATGAGATCAGATTAAATGAGACTAAACATGAAATTCATGATTCTGACAGTCAGTCTATCTGTATATATCACAGATTCAATATTAACATCTCTATGATAGATTATATCTTCATTGATTAAACTCTGTAGATATTAAAGTATATATTTAAATACAGCTCAGTTCTTTGATATAGGCTGAGAGCTGAACTGTTCAAGAAAATCTGCAATGAAGCTTATATTGAAATATGTATTAATTGTCAGATATTGCAGAAATTCAATATCAGATTGATAGAACTATAGAGTAAATTCTGCTATATATATAATTGACTTTATATCATTATTCATAAAATTAACATTCTTCTCTATAGAAGTGAATTTAGAGTGACAGTCATTCATTGAGAATTTCTTCAGAAGATTTCTTATGAAGAGAAATTAAGACAATATCAATAAAGTTAAATCTCTATCAATTTTCATTTCTAAATAGTGAGTGAGATCTTCTACATTTTTAATCTTGTAATTAGCTGTGATTTTAACTTTGACTCAGTTCAGATCATCAATTTTCAGACTGAAGAGATAAACATTATTTATATAGATAGTTATATAGATCTGTCTTATATCATGAATAAATAGTTCAGTATTATAGAGACTGACACAGAAGTCTGAGTATAATAGCATTTTTCACAGCTTCTCATATTATAAAAGTGCTACTTGCTTAAGACTGTAGAGTCTCTGTATTAACTCATATATAAGATTATCACAGTCTTTGTGAAATTTTATGAGTTGATTTATATATATCTGTTTATCAGCAGACAGTTGAATATTTAAAAAAGCAGTCATTATATCAATCTGCAGAACATATCAGCCCTGAGATGCTGAGATCATTATAAGAGCTTAAGAGATAAGTACAGAGATAACAGATGCATAGATTCTTGAGTAATTGATTCTTTTCTGTTAATGATTTTCAACAGATAACTCAGTCAGTCTTATAGCAGATAATCTCACTTATATTATTAAACTTTTTATCAAATATTCATTGACTGTGAAGAACACTTATTTATGATGTTCTCTCACTCAGTTATCAGATCTCAATCTGTTTTAAATAATGAATCTCTTTAACACAGATCTTGTAATAATATTTTCATTTCATAAAAGCTTTGACATGTGTGAGGTTTTTCAGAATTGAAAGTGTAGCAATCTTGAGATCAGTAGATAAATCTTCAAGACTGTCTCTCACTAAAGATTCTCTCACTGAAACTTCTCTCACTATAGTCATATTTCTTATAGATGTTGAAGAATTATCAGATTTATTCATGAATTCTAAGAAGTTCAGTGTATTCTGTATTATAAAAGTAGATATTGTTATGAAAATTTCATAATCAATTCATCAATTATTAGTGAGTATGAGAAATAATGAACACTCAGGTTGAATTTTCTCATTAATGAACAGATCATCAGTTGATAAGTTAGAAGTCACTGAAGAAATTACTGCAGAAATTATTACAGTGAGTAGATTTAATATCACTGAAGAAATTATCACTGCTATCTTACAGACTGCATTGAGTAGAATCTTTAGATTATATATAGTCAGTATTAATAAATTAGTAAGATGAAGATTCTTCTGAAAGATAATGTCTTTTAATATGTATAAACATCTGTTTGAGAAATTCATTAATCTGTATTTGACAAACTCATCATATTTCACAAAAATTAACTTCTTGAAATAGAAGGTTATCTTATTAATAAGCGTGAGAACTATCTTTAAGAATGCTATACAATCTCATAAGTGAATATCACATGCAGAAGATAGAGCTTCAAGTCAGGCCTTATACAGTGTAATTAGCTTTGTATTTTCAGAGTTCTTATATAATATAATTGAGATTGACATAAGATTAAGCAACTATGTAACTGTAATAACTGTCTCATCTTATATCTTTTCAGAAGTGAAAGAGTCTATTAATAGTGATTAAAACTTCTTAATAATTAATTATTTAGATACTTCATCTTGCTGTGAAATTGTAAGAAATCCCGCTCCTCGCGGATTCTTTACCTCTATTTCTATCTCTCATGTAATCAATAGAGCTAGCGGCCCTTGACTACACACAACTATATAGACTGAAGTTCATGAATACTATTCATAACTCAGCTTGAATGCTATTATATATTTGATCTCTACATTTTATCTTTCTACTGTAAATACTTCTAGTAGTTAACAGTATATATCATGTCAAGCTGCAAACACCTGAATAATTATCTGTAAGCACTTATTCTTACATTTCAAGCTCAGTCAGTCAGCAATCATCTGTTATGACTGAAAGAATTAGAAACTTATATACTTCAATCTCTATGAACTCTACTATAGATACTTAGAAGTAGTTATCTGAATCATGAATAATCTCTGTAAAAGAAGTCTCAGAGAACTTATTAATTACTTATAGAATATCATTCTCTATATCTGTGATAGAGAAATTCTTCAAACTCATGAATAAACTAATCTCAGTGAAGAACATTCTTGAGCATCTCTTATAGAATCAAGCTATTTTTCTATAAGAAATGCTTACTACTTATAAACACTCTTAAATTAAGTCTCTAGACATAATCTTCAGAGACATCTGTGAACTGAAAAGAAACTTTCTTAAGTTATAACTACTTAAGATCACTTATCAAATCACAATCTATAAAAGCTTTTATAAGTTTGTATTTGAAATTGACTCATAAGTCTGACTGTGTAATATGAAAGATGAAGAAGCTGTTACTTATATAATAACAGATCTCTATTATACTAAAGTTAAGAATTGACTGAATTATCTAGAGAATAATTATAAGAGATTCTGCTGATCTGTTCTCAAGATCTATCTAGAGAATAAGTTAAGAGACTCTGTGAGTCAGATAGAGAATATCTGAGCTGTAATCATTAATATTAGAAAAAGAGATGAGAAATCTGATAAAAACTACTCACAGTGCTTTATAAAATTGTGATATGAATTAAGATCTGTGAAAACAGAGCTCTGAAACAAGATCTGAATAATGATATTTATAAAGAGACTGAATAAAGATATGTAGAATAAGCTCATTGAGTAAGACTCTAAGTTCTTAACTCTGAAGAAACTGATGACTCTTATTCACTACTTACAGATTACTATGAGAGTCACAGATCTGCAGAGAGTGAACTATTAATCAGCTCTGTAA